CCTCCCTCCCAAAATAAACACACACACACACACACACACACACAAAACAAAGCAGAGAAAACATCTCATCACGGAAGCTGTAGTGTGTCACAGTGTGTCCCTCTGTCCACATGTCTTCAAATGCAAATGTTCGTTGCAATGAGTCGTTTGTCTGGTTCGAGGTCGCTGGCTTCTGTAACACCATCAATATGGGTCCTCACCGGTACTCTTCCTGGTATCCCGCACTTTGAATCAGCAGAACTGGCCTTTTCACGAGTCCCAATCGGTCACAGATGATACAGATTTTGGGGTGGTCAGCTCAGAGCCATGGGTCTGGGCCACAGCTGAGCTGGTCAGCATGCCAGCTCTCCGTTGTAAGCGCCTCCAGGGCTAGTTCTCCAGCACCTCTCCAGCTAGGCCCCACAGTGCCACACCGGCAGGACACAGGATCAGCTCTCCTGCTTCATGCCCTGTGGGCTTGCTCACCCTCACTAACCCTCCAGAGTCAGCTCCACTGTGCTGCCGGTCAAGGTGCAGAGCCCACTGTCCCAAGCGCTGCAGCCTGCAAGGGGCTGGGTCAACTCCCCCACTCTCACATAGTCTGGGCTGGCTCACCCGTGCCTTCTCTACAGCTCGGCTGTGCTGCCCAGGTGAAGCACAGGCTCTCCAGCTCTCCTGCTCTCCCGAGGGGAGGGGGGGGGGGACAGCTCTCCAGCTCTCATGACTGCTGCAGGTGGCAAAGGGCCGTCTTTCTTTAGCTCTCTCCTCCTCAAGTTCTGAAATAGGGCCTCACTGATTGTGGAGCTCACAATTTTGCAAAAGCCCCAGAGATCCCCAGCTCTGGGGTTACAGGCATGAGTGGACACCTGAGGCTCTTCAGGGACGCTTCAGATCCAAACTCAAATCTCAGATTTGTGCAGTGATCAGTTTCCTGTCTGATGTGGCAGGCCCTAGAGTAAGAAAGGTTTTAAAGCTCTGAAAATGTGAGGCATTCTCTTAAATTTTCACTTCTGCCTCAGTTACCTTGTTTTCCTAAACAGGCAGATGTAGGGAGTTCCTTTAGCACCATTATATACATTTATAAATAGGATGTTTAGGATGTGGGGGTGTGCACCTGTGTATTTGAGTGAGGTTGCCTGTATGTATGTGTTTCCTCTCTCTCTCTCTCTCTCTCTTTCTCTCTCTCTCTCTCTTTCTTGAAGTATGAAAGCTCAAACTCAGCAAACAGTGGTTTCATTAAGCCTAATAATCTTGGAAGCCTGAGACAAAAATAATCTCAGATTAATGAGTTACAAGGGGAAATAACTTGTAGGGAAAAAGCAAAGTATCCTTGTGCATTTTCTCCCAGGCTGCTGTGCTTTGGTTGGGATTTTCAAAGCATGACTGGTGTGTGCCACTAACCCTCAGCACTGCCCTATTGGCCCTAGATATATGCACTAAAGAACAACATTTTATTATTCTGTTTTTGTAATTTAAGGTCTTTCTGGGAGTGTCTGTCACTTGTCTTAACAAATCACACAGCCTGAGGCTCCTGAGGCTCCTGAGGCTCCTGAGGCTCCTGAGGCTCCTGAGGCTCCTGAGTCCCATGCCTTGTATTAGATTCCATTTTCTTCCCACTTAAATGCGGTTTGTGCTCATGGCCATCCCTGCTTTTAGTACAGGCTATATACTCTCATTTCCGTCTTCAACAACTGTGATATCTATTCATGACCTAAGAAGTGCTTTCTTGATTCTCACTGACCAAGCACAATTGTGTTTTATCCCTTGGACATTTGATGACTTTTCTTATAGCTATTCTTCAGTCATCTCATAACTGTCTCATATCTCAGAGGCTGGCTCCACGTCAGTGCTGCTGCTGTAGTTCAGACAGAAGGCCACACAGACTGGAGCCTTGCTCAGAAACACAGAAGCAACAGAAAACTGCTCAGATGCTTTCTGTTCTGTTCTGTTGAGACAGGGGTTCGATATGTAGCCAAGATTGGACTCATCCCTAATCCTCCTCCCTCATCCTCATCCTCATCCTCAAGCCCTGGGTTTGTAGGCCTGTGCTGCTGCACCTGGTTAGAATGCTTTATTGAACTGTCCAAGCCAAGTGTTCGGTCACTAGAGATTCAAAAGCTTTGGTAACTTGGCAGGGAATATTGTCCATATGGCCTGAGGGGCAAGGAGACTATGACTTAGAACGAAGGCCAGATTTAACAGGCCACTGAAAGCATGATTGAGGCTTTGGAAAACAATATAAAGCAATAGAAGAAGCATTGGTTTGGGACTCAGGCCTGGGTTCAAATTTAAGCTCAACACATCAGCAGTTAGAAACCATCCACACCTCACAGGACTATTGTAAGGGTTAGATGAGGCAGCATGCAGAAGGCCTTTTCGGTTCTCAGCTCACAGCTGCTCAATGTCTAGCAACGGTCCTTATCTCTCAGTTAGGATAGCTCACTGTATCAGAGGTAGCAGCTAAGTGACAAGTCTTAAGCCATAAAATATTTCTAGGTAGGCAACAGTTTCTTCTGCAGAATTACTGAACTTCTTTAAGTAACAACTTAACTATTTGACAGTTGATTTGCTCTCTGAAGAGAATCTTTAATAGAACAAAACTGTTTTCTGAGCTAATGGCCACAGAGAGACTCACCCTGTCCTTGCACGGGGCACACAGGAGAACAGAATTCCAAGGAAGACTCTTTTGATAACATCAGACAAATTGTTTTTAACACTGCAGGCATCGAGATAAGGGAAACTGAGTCACATGGAGAAGCACGTATGCCCCAAGAAAAATACAAAACATGTAACACAACACGACATCTGAATAGCATGTTTGGTAACCATGATCATTTCAATATTTGGCAATAAATCCTATCCACATTTTGTGCATACGCCTGTGTGTGTGTGTGTGTATGTGTGTGTGCGTGCACACACACATACACACAGCAGGGCCCTTTTGTAAGATATGGAGTAAAGTAATGTTTTGGTCTTTATTTTGGCGAACTGTTAGACAGGAAGTCTCTCACAGCACTGTGATTAAGGCCGACCATGAGGATTAAAGCCTCCTTAAGTACAGGGTCAGCTGGGAGGAGTGGGAAGGCTGTGAAAGTTTTCAGGAAGAAAGACAGATGCCATTTCACACTCAAAAACAGTTCTTCATGAAGAAGCATTCTTAGGTGTCTTGGGCTACAGAAAGTGGTCAAGGCTCAGCATCTAAGAGCATTGGCTGTTCTTCCAGAGACTCAGGTTCCATGGCAGCTCACAGTTGTCTGTAACTCCTGCCTCAGGGGCTATAGCACCCTCTTCTAGGTATTAGGCATACTTGTGATGCACAGAGATACATGCAGGCAAAACATCCATACATAAAAAATAAATATATTTTAAAAGAATCGACACGCTATTTCTCCTTCTGAATTGTAAAGCTTTGTATCTTAAAACCCTGGGCTAGAGTTGAATAAAATGTGTTTGTCATCTACTCACAGAAGGTATCTGGGTCTTTCGGTCAAATCTCAATAAAATGCTGGCGCGTGTTGGAATAGGCAGCTACGAAAGGGACCATTTTAGTCTGAATATCCTGAAGCACCAGCAGCAGAGGGCGCCAGGTTCTCTGCAGGCCCTTCCTATCTGGGTGTTTTCCATTCATCATATTGACTAAGACCAACCTCTAGTCCAGAGAGCAGTGAGCTCCTTCACTCAAGACTGGCTTGGAATTTGACTTCCCGATGTGAGGGAGGCAAAAATGAAAGAGGTATGTGCGGAGAAGACGGGGTGTGTGAAAACCTGGGGAGCCGGGGGACTGTCTCCCATCCTCAGCCCCGCCCACGGTGCATCAGGGTAGCAGTGCGCTGGAGCCGTGTCTCTAAGACAAGCTCGTGCCATCCCTACCACACCTTATCTGGGCCTGATCTTGCCATGTTGAAGTGGACCCTGGAGAGGAGAGGAGTCAGGCCTCGATCTGACTGTCACAGCCCAGTGACAGACCTTGCTCCTCCTGGCTTCATTCTTAGAGCAGGGGTTAGGAGTGGGTAACTGTCCATAGGGACGGGCCAGTGCGGTCTTGAGTAGAGCGGTTAGTAGCACGCATGCGCGGCTAGGGAGGTAGTCCAGTGGGTAAAGTGCTCACTGTGCAACTGGGAGACAGGAATTGGGATCCTGAGCACCCAGGTAAGCGCCCAGTGCGGCCTTGTGCCTGTAACCCCAGTTCCAGTGCTGAGGAGATGAAGTTGGGGGGGGGGGAGTTGGGGCTCCACCAGGTAAAGACCTTGTGTCAACACAAGGCGGAGAGTAACGGAGTTGGACCTCTGACACGAACCTCTGGCCTCCACACACAGTCATAGGCACCCGCCCACACCGGCACATCCTCTCTGATACACACCCACACCCGAGAGCTGAGAAAGACGAGGGCAAGCAGGCAACACAGGAGCTGGGCCTCAAGGGAGACCTTGCGTCCGATCCTAACTACTCAGCGCTGTGTGCTTGGAAAGTACGTGAGTGCGTGCTCCGCTCAGACGTCGTCGATTTCATACAGCAGCTGCCTATTAAGCCAATGTTTGTCTGCTGCCATTGGTCACGCTGAATGTCTGAGTTCAAAGTTACCTTAGCTGAGTTACACAGACCAAACCTAAACACGCCTTTACGCTTCCACTTAAAGCTGAGTTAGAGCTGGCAGGGCGTCTGAACCCGTTCGCTCTCTGAGCTGATTCTTCGCTGAACTGGACCCGCGAAGAGGCCAGCTCATGTTGGCCTACGGGCTTTAGGCTTTTCTTTCCTGAGAGGGGGGGGGGGTAGAGAGGCCAGGGGAGGCCCTTGGTGGTGTCTTCCACCGCTCTGGACCTTATTCCCTGGAGGTCTCTCACTCTGGCCAGGCCGGCTCGCGGGTCAGTCCATCCATCTCCGCACCCTCCCCACATTCTTAAGGCAGGACTCCACCTCAGCATCTGCAATGCAAGAAGCCCAGAGCTGCCGCGGAGCTCTCCCGAGGAATGATTTTTGCATTGACAACCCATCGTAGAACAGGATGAAATAATGGTTCTTTTGTCTCTCGGGGCTGTCACTATCGCTGGGAATCACGCAGACGGAATGAGTAACAGCGAGGTCTGACCGAAGAATGGCCATGTTTTTGAGGCTCTTGCTTCTTTAAAGGGTAAGAAAATGGGTCTTTCAGGTTTTGTTTTGAGAAACAAGCGTGCCAACTGTCACATACGGGAGAACAGAAAAGTGAAGTGTGCAAGACGGGACGAATCCGTAAAGACAGAAGCGCTCCGTGCACTTTTGCTCTGCGTGTTCCCGGTAGGGCGGGATCTGCCGGGCAGAGGAGCGACGGCGAAGCCGGCACCGGAGCGGCGGAGCCTTGCCGGGGAGGGCCCGGTCAGGGGATCAGCGGCCGGCCGGGGCCACGCTGCAGCGCCGGCCGAGCCGCGCCTGCTCCCTCGGGGACCGCGATCAGGTGATGCCGCAGTCCAGGTGGCTCCCGGGAGGTGGCGCCGCGCGGGTAGCGAGCCTGGGGTGGGCGCGCGAGCGGGTGTGCCTGGCTGTGCCTGGCCCTGAGCGCTGCGGGGTGGCGGTAGCCCCTGGCGGAGGGCATGCTCTGCAGCCGCGGGTCCCTCGGCTCCACCTGCTGGACACGGCGGGCCGGGTGCGGGCCGCGAACTCGGGAGCAGGGCAGGGCGGGCGGCCGCGGGAGGAGGAGGAGCCGGGAGCGCGGCGGGAGGACGCCGGCCCGCCGGGAGCGGCCGCTAACTTAACCCAGCTGGCGTCGGCGAAGCCGGGGCCGCGCCGCCCCCTCCCGGCTGACGCCGGCGCCCTCCGAGCACCCTCCGCCCGGGGACTGCGGCCAGGGCCATGGGGCCCCGGCGCCCGCGCCGCTCGCGCAGGCCTGCACGCTCGTGCTGGGTAGGGTAAGTGGACATCTGGGAGGTGGGAGCTTCGCTCGGGGGCTGTGACCTTTTGACTTTCCAACCCGGGAAGGCCGGGTGGCAGGAGTTAACCTTAGCTAACATTTCCGGCTGTGCTGGATACGTCCTCACAGCCTCGTCCCTTAACTGAGCCCTCAGCTCCACCTCCGGACCTGGTTCCGAGCCCTCAACTTAGTGTTTCCCCGTGAGAGGCAGGCTCCCACCTGAAGAGCGGCCCAGCCCAGCTGTCGGGCGGAGCCGCACACCGGCAGCCGGGTGCCACTTTCGGAAGTCGCGGGAGGCTGGATCTTGAGGGGAAAGGATGCAGATGAAAGTGCCGGCGAGTGGGATCCTCAGCCGCTGGAGGAGCTTCCGAGAAGCAGGTGTTTCTTTCATATTTCTGGTCTGACCCCTCCCTATCCTTTCCGGAGGGTAACAACCTCATAACCTAGTGAATCGCCACGGAGACACCCCATCCCGCCTAGAGACCCAGATCCGCCGCCTGTGTACATCAGAGAGATTTCGTTTTCATTCAGGGGACTAAAGAGTCCACTTTTATTATGGCTAAGCACAGGTCAAGCTCAGCAGGTGCGGGGTCCGTCGTTCCCTTTGAACGGGGTGTTCAGTCCCCCAGATAGCTCCCGTGTATGACAGATGGGAAGGGATCTTATTTAAGTAGAGCAGAAAGGTTCGGGGTAAAAATAGTAACTTCAGATGTACCGTTCTCTGCCTTTCTTTTTTCTCTTTGCTGTGAAAGCAAAAAATAACTTGAGGAGCTTTATCAGATAACAAGGGAACTTTAAACCCCGGGGTCTGCCCTCCGGCCAACTTCAAGAGACCGTCTGCAGTTCACCTGACAGAAGCCAGGTTTGAACTGGTCCCCTCCGTGTGAGGCCGCTCCCATACGTGGAGGTAGCAGCCTGTCTGTCAGCAAGGCCCGAGTCCACCCTGAGCTGACAACAGGCTTCGACCCGTCTCATTAGTCCTGCCCTTGCCGACCCCTTGCAACTTCTGAGATTGCATGCAGGATTTCTACTTCTTTTTGCAAATAAAATCTAAAACTTTCACCTGAAGTTCATCCTCCTCACGCGCCCCCCTCCCCGAAAATAAAGGAAAGGGGGAACACAGTAAAGAAATGAAAGGTTTGAAGTGATACAGAGTTAGTTTTTGTCTGTTTCGGCTGGCTGCTGTGAGGGCGAAAATTTTAATCCACACAGTACATATAGGTGCCTGGAAGACAGGAAACGATACTTTTCTTTAACGAGTAACCAAAATTGAGATAAGCACAGCAGTTTGTTCAGAAGCAGCGGCATATGTCTTTCTACCATCAAGCAAATGCTCCGAACCTGACAGAAAACATCACACCCCTGAGCTGTTGTCAGGGAGACTTTATTCGTCTTTAAATTGTCCAGCACAGTGTTTGTTGAGCGGAACTCGTTCTCTTTTGGTTTATATGATTGTAAACTCTTAGTTTCCACTTTAATAGGTACATTTCTGTTTTCGTCCTGACATTCACTGTTAGTTTGGCGCATATGAAGAATTTAGTCGACTTTCCAGTCACTGCTCGATGCACAGGACAAGCCCTTGTAGGCTGGAGGCTGCAGTTAGAAGCCAGGGGAGGCACAGCGGAGCTGGCGCTAGAATTCTCAAGCCTGGAACTTACTCCTTTTCCAGAAATGAGGGTAATGCCAATCCACTTTCAGGAAGATTGCTGAAACTCAAAGAACGGAAAAAGCCAGGCACAGCCGTGGTAGAGCTCCAGTTGGTCTCTAGTAGAAATTGCTCAAATTGGTGAACCAAGTGAATTTGCACTTAGTTGTTCTCGTGGGTAGGCTGGTCTCTTCTTAAGGATTTCATGAAAGAAAAGTTTAATCAGGTGCCTTGCTAAAAACAGACTGTGAGTTTTCTCGATTGATCACAGGGTAGCCAATCAGCTTCCAGCTCCTACAGAGACTGACCATAGAGTAGCCAATCAGCTTCCAGCTCCTGCAAATACCGCCCACTGCCCCTGCCAAGCATTGCCTGCTCAAGTCTGTGACTGGCGATTTCTATCAGCTGCTCTATACAGCTTGGGAATTCTAATTCATTTTCTCTTGTATTTGATATTAGAAAATAACATTGGGTAAGTGACTGTAGCTTCTTTAGACCTTCTTCTCAGGATTCTGGGATATTCCCAGGACATTCCTGTGCTCACAACCCCAGGTTCTCTTGGGTGCTGGAGTGTGAGTGAGCAGAATGGGAAGGCGCAAGCAGCTTGTTCCTTAGTTCTCTCTCCTTGTCCATCCTTCCCTGCTGAAGCTTTATCGTAAGGCAGGAAGATAGCTGCTTTCTGTCTCTAATCAGCACAGCATCTGCCTTTGGGTCCGAGGATTCTGTCGCCACTGCGCACGCTCCAGAGGCGTGCACAATGAAGGAAGACCAAACTGGGTTTTCATGACGTTGATAGGTTCAACGTTTTGGCAGCAGGAAATAACCCTAGACAGCGTGTGCTATGGAAACACTGCCTTTACATTTTTAATTCATTTCTTTAAAATGAAAAGCGGTGAAGTCACACATTTTCGTTTTACAAGGGGTGGAAGATGACATGATCCATGAAGCCTGACAGCAGAGACACGGGGTGTCACAGAGTCTTGTGGAGTAGGGCTGTATGTCCGCTCTGCCAGTACCTTCATCGGAACATTGTACACATTACCCTGGTCCACGCACTCCTACACTGCAGCCTTTGTAGTGTATGAACACCAAGAACAAAAGAGAACCGTGTCAAACCCACTGCTTATCCCTGGCACCTAATACGCTGCAGGCACCCAGGTATCTTGAGAGCGACTGCGTGTTAATAAACAGTCATTAAGTGCTTTGGTACAAAAGAAAAGGGAAATGACTCCTCCCATGAGGAAAGTTCTCACAGGACAGACAACACTTAAAATTTCAATAATTCAGACACCAGTTCACTGGACTTCTAGAGAAGGGTCAGGGGAATTCTGGGAAGTCTGTTAGGAAGGAGTGGGAGTTTCCCATCCTTGAAAATAGCCTTTGGTGTAACTAGGGAAGAGGGGGGAGGGTGCTGGGTGCACATAAGGAGGAGATGGGGGTGTTTCAAGGTAAGAAAGGCCTAGAAGACGGAGATGGACATGGGTGCTAAAAATAGTCCAGCTCCAAGGAAGAGGAGTGGGAAATCCAGCACTTTTAAACATGTTTCAATAAGCCTCCCCTGCTGAAATACCATACCATTGGCCATAGGCAGGAGCCCGTACAGAGTATGCGTTGTGAAAGAATTCCTAAACTTTAAATAGGAAAATGTTCTGAGTTCTTGGTCTCTGACATGGAGTTCAAATACATTTGAACTCAGTTCTCTCTTGTCTCCACATAAGAGTGCTGCTTTTCAATGTTCAGAACTAGATATGCCGGTGCCTGGAAGTTAATTTAGTGCTCAGCACTTAATTCTCTCTTATTATTTGCACCTCCTACTTGTTCTAAAGTATCTGAATTGGTTTCACTGTGTAACATAATGCCTAAAATTGAATGTAGAAAGGAGCTGGGGAAAAAGGCTTTTTGCTGTTTTGTCAGTCACTGGTGCTTGAGACTCCAACTGCTAAACGACAGTGTGATTCAAAGTGAACCTAATCACATGTACATGTGGCACATGTGACACAGAAGCCTTTAGGATTGGGCCTGGGGTTCTAGATCATCTCTTAACTAACCGGCGAGAAGCTACATCTCACTGTGCTCCAGGAGTGTCTTGGAGTTTCTATCACTGCAACAAAACACCGTGACCAGAAGCAAGCTGGGGACAAAGGGTCTGTTCAGCTTGCACCTCTACAGTGCTGTTCATCACCAAAAGAAAGCCAGGACAGGAACTCAAGCAGGGCAGGAACCTGGAGGCAGGAGATTCAGGGGCCATGGGAGAGGGCTGCTTGCTGACTTGCTCAGCCTGCTTTCTCAGAGAACCCAAGCCCACCAGCCCAGGAATGGCACCACCCGCCATGGGCTGGGCCCTCTTGCATTAAGTACTCCTCCAGAAAATACCTTACAACTGGCTCTCACAGAGGCATTTCCTCAACTGAGGTTCTTTCCTCTCTGGTGACTCTAGCTTGTGTTGACACAAAACCAGCCAGTACAAGGACATATTTTACAATACTGGGCGAACTACAGGATCAAGTTCAACATTTGTCCTAGTCCTTGAGTGGCCAGGAAAAGTCCCATGTCACCCAGAGTAAAGCCCAAAGATCTGAGGGAGACGGTGGCTGCTTGG